GATATAACATAAGACGAAGAAGAGAAAACGATATTTTTCCGAGAAAGTTCTTGTAGAGTGAATGTGGCTAATTCCAACAGAAATTTAACCTCTTTACTTTCATTGCTTATTGTAAAAGCATTTTTCTCTTGCATTTTTCTCCTTGCTGTTCTTGACCAAGTTTACCATATCTTTGTTGCGCACGTTGTTTATTCGTATGAATTCGAAGCAATGCAAAAGCTATTTTGATGATAAGAAATGAAACTTTTTGATCCCTTACTGAGGTTACTGATGCAGTAATGGAGAATTTGTGAATTAAAGGAGATCTAAACAGTCGTAGTTACGTCTTCAATATCAAATCTCTTGTATCTCTCCGATCGTCGCTTCCAGTACCCGAAAAATGAGTCCTACTTTTCAACTGAATAGGCTGCCCTACTATTTATGACGGCAATGAGCGGACGTTGATACTTTTGTATTGTTTCGAACGTAGAGCCCTAGACTTGCAATCAAGGAAAAAACAAAATTTTAAATGCCGCAGCATTAATTCCAGATATCGCGACAAGAATCGAAAAGGTTGTTGAATTCTAAACTAAGAATGAAAATTTTTGTCGATCCTTTCCAAAAGCTCAAGTTTTTTTTGATTTTTCATCAAGAAAAACGTTTTTGCCTTTCTCTTTTCGATGTTCACTAAAACTAAAGTCTTTCCCCTACACGAAGTATCAACTGGTATACATCAGTCGATAGAGAATTTCACGGGCTACAAAACAGTTTATGAGACCATCAGAAGAAATTGAAATTCCGTCGCCTGAAGTTCGAAATATCCGGTAGCGCCTCAGCAAAATCGGCGGGCCAAGGTCATTCATCTCAAAAGCGTTACCCTATTCGGTCCATACCCAGACCACTTCATATACCAATCGGTACAGAATTTCACGGGCTACAAAATGATATATGAGACAGCCTTAAGAAGTTGTGTCGGGCTAAGGCCAAGATTCGAAATACTCGGCAGATTCCTTCCTTTTAATTTCATACAGTTTTTTGTTAACCTCTGAAGAAGAATTCGAAACCGGTCAGGATAAAAAAATAAAGAAACCAATCACTCGCTGTTATTGTCTCACAACCGTGCAACGGCTACAAAAAATACATAGTCTATACGATTATTAATTAGCGAGCCCATAACCAGGTACAGATTGGTTTCAGATTTTACCAATTTACTCGGAGAAATAGCTGAAGAACACATGGATGAGATTGATAACAATGAAAGGCAAGGCGGCCAGGTTAGTGATATTAGTGAAGACGAAAATGACAACAATGAACGGCAAGACAGCCAGGTTAGTGATATTAGTGCGGATAATGACTTAGAAGAGAGGAGAGGTGCTGGCGCACAAGACGAAGAGGATGAAAATATATTTGTTCCGTTTACCCAATACGTCATAAGAGATGACATAATTGAAGGCGAATTGGCATCTTCGCAAGAAAGGAATGAAAATGGAGATTCGCCCAGACGGTCGATAGAGAAGACGATGACGTCCATTTAGGTGCTCCACGCTTGTTAACACCACCACCACTCGCGAACATTAGTGTGGACAAAGTGTCTAAAGACGAATTGACAAATCGCAATTTTTGGGCGTAAAAATGATGCAACAATTCGCATTTTACCATTGTTTTGCGAATTCGTAGCGAATTCGTAATCCAATGCGAACTGATGCGAACTAACAA